CCCTAGAGCCAGGGTGGGGACTGTCCGGCCTGAAACCCGCGACATCATTTGGTCTGGCCCTGCCAAGGCAGCCTCCAGTGGGGCTTGCAACTCAGTAAATCTGCTGCAGGCTGATTTTTAAGCGGCTCACTTTGTTTGGCCTGCAGATGACGTTGTAGATGTCCAAATGGTCCTTGGCAGAGCAAAGGTTCCCAACCCCTGCCCTGGAGAGATGTAACGGGAATGTCTCAGAAAAGTCACTAGAATTCTGTGGGTTTGAGGCTGCCTGAGGGAGGAGATTTAGAACCAAGGTCAGGAAAACCCATCTGCTTTGAAAGGTGCACCTTGGGCTTGCTGCCTCCCTTCCCACAGGCACCTGCTCTTGACTTGGTCCTGTTCCCCGCGTGCAGCCCCCGTCAGAGGCCCGGCCCCAGAGCGGCCTCCCCTGGCAGCTGATGAAACACCGCTGTCATTCTGTGCCTGCTCGCGGGCCGGGAGTCAGAGCTCCCAACCAGGGCTCCCGAGGCTCCTACAGGAAGCGCCTGTGGACGCTAGGGGGAGGTTTTCCTCCTCTCTCTGCCCCCACCTCTGGGTGACTGAAGACCGGGCCCTGTGCTGGGCAGATCCTGTGCCTCTTATGCCTCCCGCGGGGATGGTGGCACATCCTCATGTCTGCAGGTGCTTGGTGAGGTGTGAAAGTCACCCAGCTAGGAGACGGCTGGGCCCCCAGAGCTGCTCTGAACCCCAGCCCCCACCCCCATCACGCCACTGGTCAGCCTGAAATGCCATTCCCAACGGTGCTGCGGTGGGGGGACGGGGTTGGGGCTGCTCCTCCTGCAGGGCCAGTGGGACGCTTGGAAAACCAGGAGACCACGTGCTGCAGCACAGGTGAGCTTTGTGGCCACTGCCAGGTGAATCAGGCAGTCACTGGGACGGACCCTGGGTTATTCCAGGTACATGTGGTACTAGAGGAGCTGGATTCACAGAGACCAGGCAGACACGGGGGAGTTGGAGGATGGTGGGCACAGAGTCCCGGAGGTGGGCGGTGGCAATGGCTGTGCCAGTGTGAATGCTCTCAGTGCCACTGAGCTGTACGTTTAAGAACAGGTTAAAATGCTAAACCACAGTGGCGGGTTAAGCTGCTGCCTGTGGCACTGGCATCCTGTATCTAAGCACTGGTTCCAGTCCTGCCTGCTCCTCTTCAGGTCGCTGCAGCTCCCTGCCAATGCATCTAGGAAAGCAGAGGAAGATGGCCCAAGTACTGGGGCCCCCACTGCCCATATAGGAGACCAGGATGGAGTCCCAGGCTCCTGGCTTTAGCTTGGCCCAGCTCCAGCCATTGGGAGTGACCCAATGGATGGAAAATATCTTTGTCTCTCCTCTCTGCTACTCTACCTTTCAAATAAATAAAATTAAATAATCTTTAAAGAAAATAATAAATGGTAAAACAAACAGAACTCAAGAAACCATGCCCTGAGCAGAAGTGAAGAAGGAAGAGCAGATCAAGAGTTTACGGTGTAGCAGGTACAGCATCCACCTATGATGTTGGCATCCCGTATGGGTACCAGGTCGTGTCCCGGCTGCTCCACTTTCTTTGTGGTTTTTTTTTTTAAGATTTATTTATTTATTTGAAAGTCAGAGTTACACAGAGAGGAAAGACAGAGAAAGAGAGAGAGAGAGAGAGAGAGAGAGAGAGAGGTCTTCCATCCGCTGGTTCACTTCCTAGTCGGCTTCAATGGCCGGAGCTGTGCCGATCCAAAGTCAGGAGCCAGGAGCTTCCTCTGGGTCTTCCCTGTGGGTGCAGGGCCTTGGGCCATCTTCCACTGCTTTCCCAGGCCATAGAAGAGAGCTGAATCAGAAGTGGAGCAGCCAGGACTCAAACCCGAGGCCATATGGGATGCCAGCGCTTCAGGCCAAGGTGTTAACCCGCTGCGCCACAGCACCAGCCCCCAGCTGCTCCACTTTCAATCCAACTCCCTGCTAATGGCCTGGGAAAAGCAGCAGAAGATGGCCCAAGTACTGGAGCCCCTCCTCCCACAGGGGAGACGTGAAGCTCCTGGCCCCTGGATTTGGCCTGGCCTAACCCCAGCTGTTATGGCCATTTGGGGAATGAACCAGTAGATAGAGGATCTGTTGTCCGCTCCGTGTCTCCCTCTCTCTCTGTAACTCTGACTTTCAAACAAACAGAAAACACAGGATTGACCCTCATGGGAGGCAGAACCATGTCCCCTGGTGATGTCCACACCCTGACGCCCAGAGCCTGTGACTGTACCCTCCCCTGGCACAGGGCACAGGGAACAGGGCAGCAGGTGGTGTTACGGTCGCAGATCAGCCCACTTCAAGAGAGGCCCTTTCAGGAAGAAGCGGGAGGGGGAAGTAGACAGAGAGGGCTGGGATGTGACAAGACCTGTGCTTGCCTGCTGTGGGGACAGAGGAGGGGCCGCAAGCCCGGGGCTGATCTGGGTGAGACCCACCTGAGACCACAGGAGAATTCACTTGGGCTATCAGCCCCTGCATTTGTGGTCATTGTTACCCGATCACTGAGCAGGGCCTTGGGGACACATGAGGGATGTCCTGGGGAAGAGGGGAGCTTTCCTCCAGGGGATAGAAGGCCACTTGCCACACAGGCCCCAGCCCTAGAGAAGGGGTGCCCAGCCCCCCTCAGCCCTCGCCCTGCACTCCCTGAAGCTGCGCGTGGTTACCGTGTGAGGCGGTCACTGTGCGACTCCCCTTACAGATAGGGAAACCGGGTCCCAGAGAGGGTGAGCCACTCGTTCAGAGTCACACAGGCCTGGGAAAGAATGGGCTCTCCCTTCCAGGGGACCGACTGCCTGAGCAGGAGAGTCTGTCTCCAGGAGGAGCTCTGTGGGGTGTCTGGGGGAAGGGGACCCCCCCACACACACACATCCTCTTGGTGTCTGTTTATTTGGGGCTTATGAAGGGTCTGTGAACATTGTGTGTTAAGGTTTTTCAAGTCAAAGCAACACTGAAAGATAATTTCAGATGAGTGTCCTCCCCATTTTCCTCCACCTGCCTCTGTCCCTCCTCTCTTTGACCTCTTTCTCACCTACCTCTTTTGGACAACCAGTCTGAAGTTTCTGGTTTATCCTTTTTGTATTCATTTTGCACATGTGAGCAACCTACCTGTATACTTTCTTGTATCTTTTTTTTTAGAGTTATCTATTTATTTGATTGACAGAGATACAGAGAGAGGGAGAAGTCAAGAGAGGTCTTCCATCAGCTGGTTCACTCCCTAAATGGCCACAAGGGCCAGAGGTGGACTGTTCTGAAGCCAGAAGCCAGGAGCTTTTTCCAGGGCTTCCACGTGGGTACAGGGGCCCAAACACTTGGGCCATCTTTAGCTGCTTTCCCAGGCTATTACCAGTGAGCCAGACCAGAAGAGGAGCAGCTGGGACTCAAACCAGTGTCCATATGGGATACAGGTGCTGCAGGCAGAGGCTTAGCACACTGCACCACAGCACCAGCCCCCATCCCTCTCTTTTGTACGTGGCAGGATAGGACTCTCCTGCACTTTGCCTTTGAACTTCACAGTTTGTGCTGGGATCAGCTTTCTTAAAGAAAAAAAAAAAAAAAAAAAGATTTATTTATTTGAAAGGCAGAGTGATGGAGACAGGGAGAAAGAGAGAAAGCGAGCTTCCATCCTCTGGTTACCTCCCTAAATGGCCACAACGGCCAGGGCTGTACCAGGCCAAAGCCAGGGACTAGGAACTCCATCCAGGTCTCTCGTGTGGGTGGCAGGGACTCAAGCACTTGGGCTATTCCCCTGCTGCCTTCCCAGGTGCATGAGCAGGGAGCTGGATCGGAAGCAGAGCAGCCGGTACGTCAGCTGTCCCTCCACTATGGGATGGCAGCTCAACCTGCTGCACCACAACACCCGTGCCTGGCTCAGCTTTCTTTGTTAAAAAGACAGGGCTGGGGCCCTGGGTAAAGAGCCCACCCTGGGGTTTAAAACAACATAGACTTGCAGTAGTATCAAGACCTTTCTCGTTGCAGTGCTGAGCTGTGCCGGGTGTGTGCCCTGCAGAAGCTGCAGCCTCTCCAGCATTCCCAGCAGGCCACGACTGTCTCGTCATGTCCTTGCCACCCTCATAGCAAAGGCCAGAGCAGGATCCCCTTAGTGCTGGAGTAGAAACTGAGGTTCAGAGGGACTTGTGAGTTGTTCTTCCAGTTACGCGATGGTGCAGCCCAGTTAAGCCATGCCCACTCCTTTCTGTTACACTTGGGTGCACTCCGTGGTGCTTTAAGGAGCTGAGTTTCCTGAGAAAGGGGTGGGCAGAACCCAGCCAGAACCCAGGGCCCAGGGCAGGCTGGGGCCCCGGGGAAAAGGTGGCTAGGAGCCAGCAGCCGCTTGTCTGGCCTGGGGTGCTGGCCAGTTTCCTGGTTCACTTGCTCTGCCCTGTGGTCTAGTCACCCACCCAGGCCACTCCAGTCAGGAGTAGGCTGCGCCTTCCTGCAGAGTGAGAATCTGAACAAACACCTCCCCGTTGCAGGGGCAGGGCTGCCAGCCCAGGGCGGGGTAAGAGGGTGTCTGAATTCAGCAGGCTGTGCAGGGAGGGAGTGGATGAGACCCTCTTTAGGGTTCGTTGACTGTTCACGGGAGACATTCTGTTCACAGGAGACATCTCCATTCATTGTCATCTCACTTTTCAAGCATTTTGCTGGGGGTATGAAACCCAGGCCCAAAACAACTTACTGCTTAACGAAACAAACAAACAAACAAACAAATCACACAACAGCAAATTGTATCCACTCACCTCATGCTGTCCGGCATTCCGTCAGCCTTTTTAAACCTGCCTTCCTAATTAGCTGCTTCTCCTAACCCAAAATATGATTAAATCTGTATTAAAAATATCTGTGCAGAATAGGATCAGACATACCTGAGCGTTTTCTAAATTTAGCAGAAGGCCAAAAGGCTCTGGGTTACTTTGATTGGGCACGGGATGGCTGCAGGAGTACACTTCAATTTGGGTTTCTCTGTTTTCTGCCTTTATATTGCATAGCAGAGGAAGAGGGAGCAAACAGGATCCGTTCATGACCGCAGTCCCTCCCGGCTTGTCTCGAAGCTGAAGGAAGGAGGCACCCTGGCTGGGGAGGGGGCCTCAGTTGTTCCATCTGCTCCAGGCTCCAGGCTCCGGGCTCAGAGCACCGCTTTGACAGGTAGCAAGGCCCAAGCAGGGGGTGGGTGAGGCAGCTGTGGGACCCCCACCACCTCTCGTTATCAGCCAGCTTTTGCTGGGGCCCCCAGTTGTCCCTGTCTTTCTGATGCTGGGGGCTGGGGCGAGGGTGCACTTGCTCAGAGCTGAGAAGCAGCTGTCACTGCACAGGCACGAAGGCTGGGAGGTGCATGTCCACGGCTCTCTGTCAGCTCCTTTACTGGAAGATGGACGGGCACTGCTCTGCAGAGCCATGGATGATAATGGTAGCCCCCCAGGAGGCACCAAGGTGGGCTTCTCACGAGGTGCTGGAATGACTTCCCTGATGGTGCCAGTCACCTTCCAGTGCGGGGAATGAAGCGGCTGGGAGTGTCAGCCTCGGGAAACCACTTGGGTGCACTCAGCAGCTGAGACCCAAGGAGCTGGCCTGGCTGCCCACGCACCAGAGGTGGGATGAGGGGGGCAAGGCCCCCAGGGTCGGGTTCTGGTTCCCCTCAGGGGTCCCAGCTTGCTACTGGAATTATTACACCAGGTGCTTGCAACTGATTTTCAATTTGCAAAGCAAAACGAATTTGCATTAATCAGAAAGATCCACAGGAAAGACTGTTTAGGTTTTCATGCAGCTGCCAGAGCCATTTGGATTCCAAGCGTGCAGGAGGCTCTGCTACCCTGATGCCATCATGGGCTCGTTATCTCTCCAAGGACCCGGTCACGTCTGCAGGCAGAGACTTCCTCCCTGGTCTCAGGTGGCCTCCTCCCCCTGAACACTGGAAGACTCGACAGGGAAGTTGGGATGGAGGCCCTGTTGCATCCCAAGTGGCACTGCTCCCTGTAAGGGCAGTGTCAGGAATGTGTCTTGTCTACATGGGACTTACTGGAGGCCAGGACACTGTGACCCACACTCAGTTCCTCTCTTGGGCACTTGGTCCCACAGTGACTTTTTTTTTTTTTTTTTTTTTTATAAGATTCATTTTATTTCTTTGAAAGGCAGAGTTACAGAGAGAGAGGGAGAGACAGAGAGAAAGAGAGATCTTCCATCTGGTGATTCAGTCTCCAGATGACTGCAACAGCCAGTGCTGGGCCAGGCCAAAGCATAGGTTCCACTGGGAGTTGATCACCTAGAGGTGCGGAAGCAGAAGTTGTGTCCAGAGTGGTACGTTGCCATATGAAAAAATGGCAGTAGCGTTAGAGAGTGGGAAGTGACAGGCATGGCGGTTTTTCCATGCAGTGGGTAGGGAAGGCCCCTTTGGGAGGTGATCAGCGAGCAACTCACAGGTCAAGGAAGAGGAAATTCCAGATAGAGGGAGCAGAAGGGCCAGTGGGAGCAGACCTGGGATGTCTGAGGACCATCAGGAAGGGAAGGGGTCCCTGGGAGGCCACCGTAGGCCCCGGGGTCTGTCCCAGCCCTCCTGCTGTGATGTTCCTGCCTTACTTTTCTGCTGAGCTTGTGCCCAGGGCTAAGGCTGCGTCATCATTGGTATCTGTGTCTCTAATGCCCAGTACAGTGCCTGGCGGACAGTCAGAGACCCTGTGGCCACCTCGGGTGAATGAAAGGAGGAAGATGAGGGAGGGGAGGAGGAAGAGCAGGAAGGACAAAGAGAGCAGGCATGAGTGTGAGGAGCAGCATATTGCATCCTGGGAAGCCCACCCTGGGGTTCTGTCCCTTCTCCCACAGGGGACGCAGTGGATGACCCTGCCCTTTAATGGACTCAGCCACATAGAATTCCTTCTCTTGGTAATTTGAAGCACAAGGAAGGAGGTGTGCCCAATCGGGAGCAGTTTCGGCTCTTCTGTACCTGCAGGTAGGCACGCCAGCTCAGGGGAAGTCAGAGTCAGCAGATGGTGTGCTTGGGGGCAGCCCTGCCCAGCCTCCTGGCCTGTGTGTCCCCCCTGCCCCCAGTGCACAGCTGCCACATCTCGTTGGTCCTTCCTGATCTCTGCAGAGGGGACACTCTTGGAAGGGTCAGTAGCTGACCATGGGAAGTGGGGAGGGCCCTGCTGTCAGGCCCACACTCAGGTCACATGACCCGAGAGATGAGAGGTGCTATCTTAGAATGGAGAATGTTCCAGACTCTCATGGAAATGCTGTTGGAAGCCGGCGCCGCGGCTCACTAGGCTAATCCTCCACCTTGTGGCGCCGGCACACCGGGTTCTAGTCCCAGTCGGGGCACCGGATTCTGTCCCGGTTGCCCCTCTTCCAAGCCAGCTCTCTGCTGTGGCCAGGGAGTGCAGTGGAGGATGGCCCAAGTGCTTGGGCCCAGCACCCCATGGGAGACCAGGAGAAGCACCTGGCTCCCGGCTTCGGATCAGCGCGGTGCGCCGGCCGCAGCGCGCCGGCTGCAGCGGCCATTGGAGGGTGAACCAACGGCAAAGGAAGACCTTTCTCTCTGTCTCTCTCTCTCACTGTCCACTCTGCCTGTCAAAAAAAAAAAAAAGAAATGCTGTTGGCATGCTCTTCTTCCTGGCCTGCCGATAATTCTAACAGTGAGGAGGAGCAACAGGAAAGTTCTCGGCCGGGGAGCTCTATCTCCTGGTACACAGAGCTGGCACCAGGGCCAGAGGGCCCGCATGTATCTCACAGAAGCACTCCTAGAATCTGACGTGGTCCCCAAAGCATCCACATGGCTGATGAGGTCCAGAGGTTTGGATTGGGCAAGATGCCAGCTGTGGAGCTGCTTTCAATCTTTGAGTTCAATACACTTATACTTGGGTGCCTAGCAAAGTAAAAAAAAAAAAAATGCAAGGGGGGCCGGCTCTGTGGCATGGTGGGTAAAGCCACCGCCTTGGTGCCAGCATCCTATATAGGCACTGGTTCAAATCCCAGCTGCTCCACTTCAATCCAGCTCTCTGCTATGGCCTGGGAAAGCAGTAGAAGATGGCCCAAGTCAGGGCCCAAACAGGTTGCAAGATGGCCCCTAAACCCATGTGGGAGACCCAGAGGAAGCGCCTGACTCCTGGCCTCGGATTGGCCCAGCTCCAGCTGTTTGCGGCCATTTGGGGAGTGAACCAGCAGATGGGAGACCCGTCTCTCTCTCTCTCTCTCTCTCTCTCTCTCTCTCTCTCTTTCTTTCTCTGTAACTGCCTTTTAAATAAATAAATAAATCTTAAAAAAGAAATAAAGAGAAATAAAAAGAAAAAGGAAGGAAGGAAGGAGTGAGGGAGGGAGGGAGGGAGGAAGGAAGGAGGGAAGGAGGGAAGGAAGAAAGAAAGGAAGAAAAAAGAAAGAGAAAGGTAGGTAGGTAAGGGTAGTTGGCCAGCCAGTGAAGTGGTGCAACGACAATTCTGCTGCAGGTTGACCTAGGAGAGCAGGCTCTGTAGCCAGGCGCACGCGGGCCTGTGCTTGGCCCTCACTGGCTGTGCGGCCTGGGGCTTGTCACTGAGCCTCGCTGAGCCTCAGAGTCTTCAGATGGAAAATGGGGAGGCTGGTGCCGCGACTCACTAGGCTAATCCTCTGTCTGTGGCGCCAGCACCCTGGGTTCTAGTCCCGGTCGGGGCGCCGGATTCTGTCCCGGTTGGGGCGCCGGATTCTGTCCTGGTTGTCCCTCTTCCAGTCCAGCTCTCTGCTGTGGCCCGGGAATGCAGTGGAGGATGGCCCAGGTCCTCGGGCCCTGCACCCGCATGGGAAACCAGGAGGAAGCACTTGGCTCCTGGCTTCCGATCAGCGCAGCGCGCCGGCCGCAGTGGCCACTTGGGGAGTGAACCAACGGAAAAGGAAGGCCTTTCTCTCTGTCTCTCTCTCTCTCTCACTGTCCACTCTGCCTGTCAAAAAAAAAATGAAAGAAAATGGGGAGCCAGTGACAGTTCCTACCTCAGAGGTGCTGTGCAGAAGAAGTGGGAAACAGATGTGAAGCCTTGAGCTTAGGAATCGGCCCATAAACACTCAGCAGGTGCTAGCTGGCTGTGGTGCCCAGCCTAGCCTGGGCAGGCCACTTCCCAGCTCTGCTTCCATTTCACTTAGAATAGGAGGAGTGGACTAGATGCCCACCCAGGTGCCCCATGGGTTTGCCTTGTACCTTCCCATGGGGCAGGCACCTATGAGGCAGGGAAGGGGTCAGGCTCACGACTCAGATATATCTGGGTTTGAACCCTAGACCTGCTGGTTCCTAGCTGGATGACCTTGCATGCACTTGGCTACTGCACCCCACTTGCTTCATCTGTAATAACAGGATGATCGTGAATTTCGAATGATATAACATATATATGTGTAGGCGTCTATATCTATATCTATTTCTATATCTATCTATCTATATTCTTAACCTTGTGTCTGGCACATAACTGTAACTCTTTTTAAAAAAAAAAAAAGTTTTACTTATTTATTTGAAAGGCAGAGTTACACAGAGAGAGAGAGTTCTTCTATCTGCTGGTTCACTCCCCAACTGGCTGCCATGGCTGGAGCTGCACCAATCCAAAGCCAGGAGCCAGGAGCTTCTTCCAGGTATCCCACACAGGTGCAGGGGCCCAAGGACCTGAGATATCTTCCACTGCCCTTCAAAGCAACAGCAGAGAGCCAGATCAGAAGCAGAGCAGCCGGGACTGGAACCGGTGCCCATATGGGATGCTGGCACTGCAGGCGGTGGCCCCACCCACTGTACCACAGCGCCAGTCCCAAACTGCTGCCTCTGCTGCCGCCGTTCTTGTTATCATTCTCATGCAGCATCCCAGAGCTGTGTGACCCACCCTGATGGCCCCTCCAGCTCCGCATAGGGAGCTACTCTGCCATGGGAGCCACAGACTGTGGGGATGAACCACGCACGGGCCATTTGGTATGGAAGTTAAATAAAATTCACTGCACACTTACCCTCGTACGTCCTTAATGGTATGCATAATTGTTTCGGAGCTGCACAATAATTAGACATAAATGGTAAGCTAGGCATGTAAATGAAAATAATTAGTGTATGTAATAATTAGGCAAAGAAGGCATTTTTGTGATCAGCAGGGAAGAGAGAGGCTAATGGGCTGGAGAAGAGGCTAGGGTAGGGGCAAGGGTGCCTTGGCCCGATGCATCGTACGGAAGCCCATAGCTTACCCCACATGGGAGAAGGGAGGGCTGGTCCCTCCTCCAGGTTACGGCAGGCCCAGACATTGGGCTTGTGACAGAGAACACCTGGGAGCTTCAACATGCCGAGGTGGGGAGGACTTCTTCCCCCGGAAGGGACCGTCAGCGCCTGAAGTGGCGCATGGCACCGAGACAGCCCCCAGCACGTGTCCGTCAAGTGAGTGACTGGGTGGATGGGAATGTCTCTGGCTGAGGAGCAGCAGGAAGACAGCGAAGTTCCCAGGGGGGCGCACAGGCGACATTCATGAAGCCATGGAACAAAGCCCGTTAGGGGAGCGTAGGTTCTGGCACCACCCGGTGGTTAGCCATTTGGGGCCTGTGTTCCCTGCCCTTTAAATTGGAAACAGTTAGGTTGCGATGAGGACGAAATGAGTGAACGTGGTGAGTACATGTGCCATGCTCAGGCCTGCACAGAGTGCAGTCAGGGCTGAGGAAAGCCGTTCTTAGCCAGAAACGTCTGGGGTCTGGGGAAGCGACTTAGATGCAGAGAAACGGGCGGCAGGGAGGGAGTGGCGGGAGACGGTTCTGACGCCCGGAGACCTTTGTGGAGAAGCTGGATGGGAGCTCTGAGGTCTGTCCGTCATTCACTGAGCACCTCGGTGCTGGGAATTCAGCAGTGACCAAGACAAGCAAGGCCCCACCTCTTGGAGCTCAAGTCTGGCTGGGGAGATGGCTAATGGACGGGCTAGCCATATGCAGGGGGCAGTTGGGGATAAATGTTGTGGAGAGGAAAATAACTGGTGACGGGGTGGGAGAGGATGGATATGAGATCCTGGGTTTGGAGGAGGAGACCATGTTGGCCCAAGAAGAAGCTGAGAGGTCCCAGTCTCTATGCATGCATGTGTGTGTGTGTGTGTGTGTGTGTGTGTGTCTGTACACATATGTTTGGTTTGTGGCTTCTCTGTGACGAAGTTGTAAATCCCAGCTGGAAGCCGCCTCCCTGCTGCCCACCTGGGTTTGCTAGGAAATGTGTTGCCCCACGTCTCCCTTGTTTTACTGGTGGCATGGCCTAGCCGGCGGCACATGGCGGGGATTGGAGCAGTGGCCACGGACACACACTTGGGGGATGGTAACTGCTGACGTTTGGGGGGTGTGTCTCAGCGAAAGACACAGAACTAAGGATGTGATTAGGACTTAGACTCCTGAAAGCAGGTATTCTTAGTCCTTTTCACAGATGAAGCAGCTGAGGCCCAGGGAGATCCAGGGAGCTTCCCAAGGCCACATGGTTAGAACCCAGATCTGCTCCGGTCATAGGCCGTGTCCAGAACCTGCCCTGTTAACCATGAAACAGCCGTGTTATAGAGATGCTGGCGATCCCAGGGTTGAGTGAGGGCTTCGTGCCAGGGCGGAGAAGTGGGTAGGAGCTTGGGCTCTAACTTTGCGTGCCTGGGGATTGAGACAGTGGCCCGGCCTCCCCCTTGCTGAGTGACTGCAAGCAGGTCCTGTGGCTCTCGGTGCCTGCCTGTACAGTGGGAGTGGTACCTGCAGCCTTTGTTGTTGTGAGGAGTGAAGGAGCTACCCAGGGTACAGCACTTAGCCTGGTGCCTGATGCAGCACTCATATAGGACAGGGGCTCTTCGAAAAGTCCATGAAAATGTGCATCGCCTTTTATAAAACTTCTGTTTGTTTGAGAGACAAGGAGAGACACAGGGCGGGTGGTGGTTGGGGTTGGGGGGATCCCATTCACTGGTTTACAAATACCTGCAACAGCCAAGGAGAGGCGGGCAATCCTGGGACCCAGGAACTCAAACTGCCTCTCCCATGTGGGTGACAGGAGCCTGATCACCTGAACCATTGCCGCTGCCTCCTGGCTTCCACGGCATCGGGAAGCTGGGATCAGAAGCCGGAGCTGAGAGCTGCACCCAGGCGCCTCAGCGTGAGACATGGGCATCTCACTCGGCTAGATGTAGGCCGGTGCCGCGGCTCGCTAGGCTAATCCTCCGCCTTGCGGCGCCAGCACACCGGGTTCTAGTTCCGGGCGGGGCGCCGGATTCTGTCCTGGTTGCCCCTCTTCCAGGCCAGCTCTCTGCTGTGGCCTGGGAGTGCAGTGGAGGATGGCCCAAGTGCTTGGGCCCTGCACCCCATGGGAGACCAGGAGAAGTACCTGGCTCCTGCCATCGGATCAGTGCAGTGCGCCGGCCGTGGCGGCCATTGGAGGGTGAACCAACGGCAAAGGAAGACCTTTCTCTCTGTCTCTCTCTCTCACTGTCCACTCTGCCTGTCAAAAAAAAAAAAAAATTGGCTAGATGCCCACCCCCTACCCCTGCATCAGCTTTTAGCTCAGCATTTCCGTGAGCTTCTCAAAGTACCCCTATCAGTGTCGGCTGTAGTTATCAAGAAATGTGCCTGGCCCAGGTGAGGGAAGGATGGCATGGTTGGGATT